GTGTTTGCCCACGGCAAGTAGTAATAACAATTACCTGGTGTGAAACATTCCTTGAGGGAGAGGGAGAGGGAGAGGGAGAGGGAGAGGGAGAGGGAACCATTATATAGAGTTGTAAAAAAGAAGAAATTGTATATTGAAGATTTTGTTTTGTGAATTTTTACTCATTAATAGGAGAGAGAATTTGTTAAAAACATTACAAGAAAAAATATGGGACATTCCTATTATTTTAGACAGCGTTTGAAGATCTGAAACAGCAAACTTTCAAAGACAACTTCTAATTCCTGAAGTCCCTTTGACATTCTCGAAGACAGAGGGACGTAAAAGTAGAGATCACTTGGAAAGAGATCACTTTCAAAAATGCAACCCTGAATTACCCAGTTTTTATAGTATACAAAGAGCAATGACAATCTTACTCCTGTCTATACATAAAGGCGAATTTGCAGAAACAGTCAAGATGGCAATTTTGGAACAATGAATTACCAGTGATCAACAGCAAATGAGTACGAACCCTACTGCCATACAGTACTAGATTTAATTACTAGTGACGGTCAAAGCCATAGGGACATCAAAAATATATCAGAAATATCTCACAAACATTGATTCCCATTATTAATTAATACAGACACCACACATCTACACACTCAGAATATTTTCTAATGGCCTTCCAATTTCTATGCCTTCTGAAAGTAATTTTTTACTCCTGAAACAATCTGCATATGAATACTTTTGCTCAGCTGAGCAGCTACAAAACCACTCACATCTTGTAATGAGATGTCATTCCTGACTATACAAAATCAAGGACTGAACACCAATGCTCAAACAAATTCCAATTCTGATCTCAGAGTCTGAGTGCTATTTTGGCCTGGAATGATATCTGCCGTTTTCAATTTTTATCTTCATATTATCTCTCTTCAAACTGAAGTGGGTGAAAGTACACATACTCTTTCCTGAAGGTAGCTTCTTGGTATAATTGAAGAGACTAGAGCAAATAGAAGTTGGCTTTTTCAAATACATTTCGCTTTTCTGCACACATAGCCAACTAAGCTATATACTCTCCTGCTAAATCCTCCTGCTCTCCAGAGGAAAGTTTAAACCCTGGGGAAAATAAACAGCTTTCAGTTGATGGGGATCCCAAGTTTCTTGCTATAGCTGAGGTGGAAAACACAACTTATTGGAAATATATACCCACAGGTACAGATTGCCCAAGTACTCACACAGATGGACATGGTCAGTTCTCATTAAACAGAGCACTTTATTACAGCTTGCCTGCAACACAAAGGCAAAGTGTGAGCACACCAGAAAGTATTTCACAAGCATCGAGTATGACTTTCCCCCACCTTGGTCCCTATGAAGGACAAGAAAACGAGTGGAAGGAGAGCCCCTGGCCTGAATGGCTTTTGCCAGCCACTTGACAGAAGAGGACTGGAGCGGACAAGCAGCAGGCAGCAGAGGCTGGGTCTCCACCAGAGAGCTCACCTACGCGGGCAGCGTTCATCAGCGCCATGGTTCTCTTGTGGCATTGCTCTGCTGCCAGAAACCCTGGTGCAGCGCTCAACAGCCTGACAATATCACTTTTGCTAACACAGCTTTTACAATTCGGTGTACAAAATAAGCTCGTTTTATGCTGGTACTCCTATGTCTGTCTCAGTTATATCACTACGCTAGCAAAATATTTCGGTGTAGGACAGGGTGGGGAAGCGGGTCAACTAACTGAGTTAGTGGACTTAGCGTTCAGCACTTTGGAAATCCTGCTGTCTGGCTCTCAGGAAGTGAGAGCAGCTGATGAAAGGCTGTATAATTACTGGCACTGTGTTGTATTAAGATAACAGCATAAAAACGTAATTTTCCCCAGAAGAAATACAGGTGCTAAAATAGCAACTGGATAACTATAAGATAATGAAAGCAAGCAGCATGATTTCCCCAGGTTCAAATAAACCAGATAAGTATTCTGTAGAGGTGACCTTATTAAAGAGAAATTGTCACTTTAAAAAGTTATTTTGAAAACAACAAAATTGTTATCTTCACTTATTGCTATCAAAGTTATCTATTTAATGTAATAATAATTCCACAAAAAAATACCTCTTCTTAATTCTATGTAAACATCTTTCTCCGTGCAGATGTGCCATCTCCATATATATACTTTCACTTTTCTTCTCAGTCAAGTGACACAATGTGGGTAGAATGCAGCAGAAAATTCAGTCATTCATTGTCAGGGTTAGCATGTATACTGCACTTCATAATGAATTGATAAATAATACTGAGGACAAGGAAATGAAATGGAAACATTATCTTAGGAAATCTCAGCTCTCGTTTTATGGAAACATATTCAGTTCGGTCACCGCAGAAGAATATTTTGCTTACAAAACCCACTTTTCCCTGATATATATTTTTACCATGTGGAATCTTTCTTATAAAAGAAACCTTTGAAACTGAATCTTTTACATAAAAGTCTGATTCTACTGTAAAGCTAAAACAACCGAGTAAGCAACTTTTCTTGCTTGCCAATACAACAGCAGTACCTCTGATATGCCAAGATAGAAAAACAGAGAGGGAGGAAAAAAACGGTCTTTTTAAAATCTCATCCTTTCCAGAAGCAGCTATGCAGGCTGCACACCATTATCAATGACATCGCGGTTTTGTTTTAATCTGTATTAAGAGACGCAGCAAAGAACATCATTACGCCTAACTAATTAGGCTTTAGTAAAAGCATTCAGGAAGAGAAGGCAGGACATAACACAAAGACCAATATCATAATACGACGCGGTCAAGGTAAACCAGTGGATACTCACCCCACTGCAAATAGCTGCATAGGTCCAGAAGCCTACAGATATTTATTCTATTTAAATCTATGGACATTGAAGACCTTGGCAATTTTAAGCATTCCAGTAAGTGTCCATTTTCATCTTGAAGGGATCAAAATATCCTAAAATCTAATTCTCAGGGTCTTTATACTAGCATTAAGTTTACATGGCAACATGGAAAAGCAAATTTCTCACAGGAAGAGTTCCTTGTGCAGCTTCTCTGGGGCATTCTGTCGCCCATCAATGCAAACTTCTGCTTTGATGAATGCCACATGGCTTTGCATGGCAGATCAAACCACACCATCTGCAGAAAGCAGCGCTAATGATAATGCCAAGAGGCCTATGGGAGTGCTCCCAAGTCCACTAAACCTGAGGCCCGACTATCCTGCACAAGCAACAAGCCTACCAAAAAGCCTGGACCCAGGAGCCAGTTTTGCACCTGGGCAGTGCCCTGGGACAGCTCGCTGCACTGGGCGCAAGGGGCGTACTGCGCAGCGGGTGCAGACTGCACGCTAACATCGTCTGTATTTAAGTGCCTGTTGACGAAAGGATAACAAAAATGCTACAGTTCACTAGTTCAACATGGAGCATTATTTTCTTCAGTTAATCGTACCACTGACAACAAGTCAGTTTTACTTTGTGCATTAATGCTTCCCTGCCTAAGGACAATTACTTCATTCCATGTTTCAGCTCTTTGGTCAAGGGCTTCAGGTTGAGAGGAGATAAAAGCCCTAGTGGAGATGACAGGATGTTGTGACGGGTCAGAGCAAGATGAAAAATAACATACTTGCCGGGGAATACAATTAAGTTTCTGTATTATCATAGGATTAATTAGAGGGTCCTTCATTTCCAGTACTTTCAATCTGAGTAAAATGAGTTTCTAACTTTGAACTCTTGAGTAAATCTGAATTTCCAACCAGTTACATAACTTGTTAAAAACCAACAGGAGAAGTTGTTAAAAAAGCATGATGCATTTCTTTTAAGTCCCACTTCTGCCATGAGCATGGTATTAGCAGAAACCAGTATCAGATACCTTCATCCTTCTATTTTGGTTTCACCTGTTTAAAATAGGAGATTAAGCCAGACTGTAAGGTGTCCTTTTCTGACGTTCATTTAGTAAGCATGAAGAACAATTTGCACTATGTCGATTATGCTCAAAATCCTGAAGAATCTGGCCTTACGTAACTTTTTGGCAGTAGCCATGAACCCAGATGGGCTTCATTTGAACCGCACGTCTAGAACAAAATCCTTGGAAGACTTCAACTGTGAAATAAAAATGCTAACACCTATGTGATACACATCTAGTAACTGTGCGTACAGCAATTAGCCCTGTTTTGTCCTCTGAACTACTCAAAACTAAATGTAAGACAGCTCTTTATGAAAGTGGGGTATTAGCTGGGTAGGATCTATTTCATAAGGCGTAAGAGATTTTTAGATATGCACATTTCTGTGAATACATATTGTATGATATGAAACTGATTCATAGTAAGGTATGATTTCCCCCCAACTAGAATAATCACTGAGCTGCTTTGAATTTGTGATGAGGTGAATTGGAGTTACAAATTACCCTTCTATTATTAGATATGCTGATTACCTGTTAAGGATTATAAATTGGTATCACAATCAATATTCAGATTTTGCATTTTGTCACTGCAACTGATTAAAGCTACTGGTCCCAACATCTAATCTGCGAGATCTCTTTTCTTGTTTTCAAAATTCATATTTTCATAAACAAACTCATTTTCTAATAATGGTAAATGAAAAAGATCTAACAATGCATAGATATTTTTACTTTAACCGTTTGGGAATTCTCGCACATTTCTTTTGGGAAGACACCAGCCATTCTAGAGCTTTTGAATTATTTTGTTCCTTTTCATTGCTTTACTAGTTAGCATAGCTTCTGTATTACTGCTGTTGGTTGGATTGAAGGTGAACTTAAGGACTGTTTAAAAGGCTTTGAACATCTTAAGTTTGAGGCTCAGGAGCATATGGCTGCAACATTTTAAACTTTGTTGATGCCACTGTACTTCATTAAAATTCTATTGTCAGAGACTTTAACTGAAGTAATTTGATTTATTTTAATGTTTCAAATAATAAGCTGGATGATAACTTTTGCTTTCTTCAAAAACATAACTTGCAAGTTAGACAAAGAGGAAAAAACTTCTCAAACTCAAGTTTTTAATTTGATTTATACTATAATAGAGCTATCTACGTCTTCAGCTAATTAGCCCTTATAAATTCATTTTTGGCACTTTTTGCACTGTTGCATTCTCCATGCCATAAGACAGTGCTGTAGGCCATCTCTTTTCATGTGGCCTATCCATACATTCAGCTGTAACAGCAGGAGTTACATTTCCTGTAACACTGGATGCAACACGATCTTTTTCCTAAATATTGATGCATGCAGGAGGAAGCCTTACTGTAGCATTTCACAGTCTCCAAGGTTCTAGTAAATTATGATACTTTATAAAAGACTATTTTCATTTTCTAAATGAAAGTGGCATTTTTTAATACAAAGAAACTCAATACATGAAAAATTGCAAAATACATGATCACAGTACCCTCTAAGCATGACGTTCAAAAGCAGTTCAAAATACCTCTAAATCGGCTTGAATATCATGAAAGATTAACAAATACAGTTGTTGCTTTTATTTACTTTTGCTGTTACTGTTTTCAATGTTCATATTTATAAGCTTCTTCCCCTCAACTAGAAAGGTTTAAAAATAATTTCTTTAATGTAAAATGATACTCTAAGAATTTAAAGTAATCCATGAATAAGAACTTCAAAAAAAACCCCACCTAAAATCGTGGGAGTTGACATCACTGCAATGAAAAAAGCTTTTAAAGGTACTACAAGCCTATTTACATGTTTCCCTTTTTTCTTGCGTGAGTGTGATACTGTTACTTCACCAAGAAAAGACAGGTTGCAAATATTTTAAGACAGTTTTGAACTGTATCCACACTCGCAGTTCTACTGGAGCTTTGCTTAGCAACAATAGAAAAAAGCTGAAGTTACCCTGGGATGTAAGGCTAAGCACGTATGTATTTGCTGAAGATCTTGACTATCAGCTATAATCAGAACATAGACTGCAAAAGTAATATTGAAAGCCTATTAACAGCACATTATTAAATAGTAAATTAGCTAGAATAACAGAAAATCAGAGAACAGAGAGATTGTGGACCGTCTATTCCATCTCCTCACGTTACCTGCTACACCACAGCTTATTACAAGAATATATAAATACAAGAATAGTAAATTAGTACTTTATACAATAAATAACCTTTCTACATAAATTATGAAAATACAGCTACAGTAAAATCAGTGCAAAAAGGATCAACAAGAACTGAATGAACACTGAGTCCTGCTCATCACAATGCGCATCACAAAGTACCCATACTTCATCTACGGCTCCCTTATATGCTGCCAAGAATTACAACATGTGCAATGCACATTTACTAACTGACGGAACGCAAAATCCAATTCTAAACTACAGCTATTTACAACATCAAGCAAATGATATCAGAACTATGCAAGCGTTACTTAAACTGCACACTTCACTCTGTCTCATTTTTCTGACTTAAGGAACTTTCTCCTTCCGAACTGATACATTGGCTGGATGTCTCCCCCATTAGTTCATACTTGCACGAGCAGCCTTTTTAGAATTAAGAAAGTTCTTTTTCTTCTTCCTTGGAGAATTATGAAGTGAAAGTACTGGATCACTCTGCTCACGGAATAAAAATACCTTCTCCCCTGTGTCTAATAGCTCTATGGCTTCTGCAGTTGCCATGTTCAAAGAAACAGGTGGACCAGACTGTTCCATAGGATTATGTCTAGGCGAACATTCAAGATGAATGAATGATGCTCTTTCCAGGAAGGCAAGTTGCGTCTTCTTTATCAAGCTACATTAATGAAAAACAAATTGAATTTTAAAAGGATTTGTAAAAATGAAAACTTAGGCAAAAAATAGTATACAGGTCTGTATCATCTTTTGAAGAAAACGGTGATTTTACTCTGGAAACTAAAGAAAACGCTGACTGAAGTGTTGTGTCGATTCCAATCCCCAATAATTTACTTATGTTATGCGATGCAAAACTGCACAAGAAACAGTAACCTTATAATAAATAACCATGATGAAGGTGGGCAACTTGTATGAAAAATGGGCTCATTTTTTGGATGAGGTGCTGAAAAATTTTTTTAAGGACTTAATTTTATTGCATATTTGGTGTAAATACATCATATCAAACATAAGCACCAAACAGAGAATAGTGTCAGAAAAAGCATATCTATGAATATATTTTCTGATTTCTAATAAATATTCTATAAGAGAAAGAATCTTTGGAAATGAAATGAGGTATAAAAAATTGCACGTTTCTTCCTCCTTTTCCTTACCTGTCTTTTCTTCTGCTTAGAGAAGACATCTTTTCCAAACTTCTGTTTATCAAATCTTGCCTTACTTTGCTCTCTAATGCTTGCCATAACCCTTGCTGCTTCCTGAAAGAAGAGGAAAGAAAAAACTCCCAGCAACAAATTCCAACATATACACACTTCCCTCTTCTTTCTGGTTTTAATTGCCAAAATCATGGCCATAATAATTCGAATAAAATCAACATAAGCATTCAGAGATTCTTGTGTCACAAAGTATTTAAACTGCATGAGATCGCACCTCAAACCATGGTCCCAAGGACCCTCAACAGCTCATATCTGACAGCTAAAGGGCCCAGTGCCACAGCACCTGCTGTGGTCCCCCTCATGTGCCATGGCAGGGAGTTGGGACCGATGGTCAGGGAGCACCTCCCAGCATCGACTGCACAGCGGCTGAGCTTGTGCTCACTAGGATGAACTGGATGGATGAAGGCCCTGGAAGACTACTTGTCTCTATGACCGAGGTGAAAAACAGTGGCTCTAATTAACAAACTCTGAAGGGACACGCATTTCCATTGCTGAAACTTCCATTGTTAAATATGACTTTTATCTTTATAACTTTAGGAACTATCAATTCATGAAATCTGACATGCATTTAGTAATACTGTGAGCAAGAACTTTCTTGATGAATGACCTTTCTGTAAAGTCCTAAACTAGCAAAATTATAAATCGTTCCATGTTGGCTACAGAACATATTCTGTGCACACTTCACACGCTTCTGCAGTAATTAAAAATGCCTTCTCCACTATGCAATGATTTTCCATGATAATAAAGAATGCAGAAAGAGCTATTTTTCTCACGCAATCGGCTCTTTACACTGGTTAAAGGGGAACGGGGTTTTACAGCTAGGCTTAGATATTAAGGATTATAATGCCTCACTATCTACTCTTGACATTACAAAATGAGAAAGATCTTTCGAAATTGGTTGATGACTGATGACGTAGTACCTCTACAGTACCAAACAGTGGAAACTGAAACTGATCAGCTGTTTTCATGAATTGCCATTACCTTGGGCTGCGTTCTTTGAGGGTGCAGATGTTCCAAGGGAGTTTTGGCTCAGCAAATGATTTGAAAAAGAATTCTTTCTAGGTTTGGATTCAATCCAAAAAAACTCAATAAGCTATGGTTACATTTGGTTATATATTAACATAATATTGCACTATATTATCAGTCTGTAAAGACATATATAGAAATGTCCAAGTTTTTACGTCCTGCATCATGAAGTTCCTACCTCCTTCATACAGGAAACTGGAATCTATGAAGTGTTAATCTATTGCTTAGCTTTTATTTTCCTCCAGTCTGTAGCTACAGCTAAGATCATGTGGCACGGTGGGATCACAGACACACAGCGGGAACCTCAAAAAAGGTGAATTTACCGAGAGTTATTTCACCCCCCTTCCCACCTCTGTATGTATTAGAACTGCTGTTATACTGAAGTTACAGCATTGTTGTACCTGCTGTGAATAGTACAAAGGCAAAAGTTGGAAGGAAAATGTTTTAAGTCCAAATTAAAGCCAAGAGGAAGAAAATAATCAGAGCAAAACCTATAAATCTATAAAGTACGTGAAGATATTTTACAGAGTTTATCAGCTATTTCTTAACCCATTTATTTTATATTTTACATTTTATATTTTACATTTATCCACATGATAAATTAGTAATTTCAAATGATTTTTACCCTTTGAAAATCATTCACAAAAGAAACTTATGCACTTGCTGCTTTTGGTACTGCTGTAAATCTGCTTGTCCACCAGATATATATCCCTGTAAAGCAATAACCTTCTCCTGCAATTGTCTACCAACAAACGTCACACTTACCTTTTTCTACAGCTGCCAGACTCCTCTGCATTACTGTCACTTTCAGCAATACCATGTGAATATTTATTGATGGAATCAAGGACAGAAAGAACCTCACTTTGTGAACTGGAGGGTAGCAATAAGTTCAGGATCCTGTGCAGCATCCCCACTGGTACCTTTGTCAGTTTGGCTAAGTAACCTGCCAATCGCAGCTCCTAAAGGGTTAATAAGTGGAGGACAGATAAATTTACCATGGTAGTAAGAAAAAAAAAATTATTGAATTTTAATTACTAACCTTGAAGAACTAATCATTATACAAACAAAAAAAAATATGACTGAACATCATTTTAGTCACGATAGTTTTGGTGTGAAGTGGCAATAGTGCCAGGGGCATTGCTGTCTTCCACACTGGCCCATGCGTACATTAAAGTCATCCATTCCATTCTGAAATCTAGGTATGAGGATTTTCAGTTACAACCATTTTCTCTCTGTGTAGTTACTCAGGGCATGTACTTGATGCCCTTCGATCTCAAAGTCAAAATACAATCATATTCCAGAATATAAGGTTTAGTTCGTTTATGGACTGCACTATTATAAAGAAATCTTATCAAAACAGGAATGAAGTGAGATGGCATTCCTTAGTCTGCAAATATCAGGGAAACATTACCCTCTGAAAGCTAATGACAACATTCACATGTTGTAATGACTGAGCAGTTCATTGTTCAGCCTTTTATAACACCAGATTCTGCAATAAGCTGCTGAGAGAACAACCTGTAATGAGTTGGCAAGAAAAGAAGAAAATAGTCAACATTTTTCAAATGTCCTTGCTATTTTGGCCCAAAGGTCAGTGGCAAAGCATATTCACCCAGTGTACAAATAGGCTAAGTCCAAAGCCTATTGTTTCCTGGACAATTAACCAACTCCACTTACTGTCGCCTTCCAAGTGCCAAAACCCCACTGTTATTTTCTGCTCAGCTGTCAAATCTACTGTGTCCACAAGGCTACTTCTACAGATTTCACATATGTGTCCAGTATAAATAGTCCATAGTCTATTGAAAACTACAGGGAAAGATAAGAGCACGGCAAATTAAAGCAAGTTAAGTGCCTCAAAGGAGGCTAGCAAAATTCTTTATGTATATATCTCAGTCAGCTGAAGTTAGGTAAAACATGCCAAATATACGAGATGGCTCTAATGTAATGATATTTTAGCTCCCTTTTCTATTCAATTATTCCACCTGCTCTGTACTGTGCCTCCTAATTATGAGAGGAGTCTCCATCAGCTGTTGTAAAACACCCTTTACAAGCACTGCCCTGGGAGAGTCTCCCATTGCCCCTCATGAAAGCTGAGACACTTCTGCACATATGCACAGAGGCGGGAGAGAACTGCAAAGCCAAGGTCACAGAAAAAACCCTCAAGGTACCCCAGAGCAGGATGAAAAACGCAACAGCAAATGTTTGAACTCTGCCTCTTTTTTCCTATGAGGAACTTTCAGAGCAGTGAATGCATACAGGAGACCCCCATATTAACTGAATCTTCTTTGAAAGAAGCTATTTCACCAATAGGACACTCCCAAAATAAACCTTTTTTTCCCTGCTAAATCCATTTAAAAAACAAACAAACAAACAAACCATCCCCAAAGCAGTCCTCATCCAAATTTAAAGGCCATATAAAAAAACAACCAATCTCCTTTCCTGAATACCATACTCTAAGCAGAGAATTTCCCTCCAAAACGCAGGAGAACTAGTCATTCCCCAAAGTCTCCTAAGCTCTCCATCGTTGTTACAGGTTTTCCATGGAAAGCACTTACATACTAGAGTGAACAAGACAAAACCCTAAGAAAAACCCAGTAAAAAAGATTAGTAAATTGAGGGAGTATTTAACATGTCTAATATTTGCACCCTAAAACAGGCACAAAGTTGGATAAGAGGTCTGTTCAGACTGCTTAGGGTAAGAAGTGACTGATTCTTCCATGGAGAAGGCTGTAGATAAGAGCTTAAATCTTAATACACTAAGTTTCTGTAGGCAGTGTATATAGCGTGTCTGTGTTGTATTTTTGGCCTCTAAGAATAGTTGATCTAGAAACTTATTAAAAAAAAAAAAGGCCAATATCAAGTGTGAATAAAGTTCTTGACACATCTCTGACCCATCATCCCCTTTGGCTGAAAGGCCTCAGGACCTTTAACTCAATAATTTATATATGACAATACAATCATCATGACTTCAGCACTGCTTTCCCCTGCAACAGTTTCCTCTTCCAAAGTGTTCTCTGTGACCCTTTTTTCCGTTCTGATCCTTTCCTTTCCCTATCATCAGGCACAATTCGGACAGAGAAGCAACCCTTAATGCTATTCTAGTACAGCAGAATTCATGATTAAACAATCCTGCAAAGTGCCACAATGCTGTCAGTAGCAGGAAAAGTGATGTTTGTACCCAATGGCTATGTGCCTCCAACATATATATGGCAAAACAAGTGCTGATGTGTGAACACACGCCCACAGCGAGCAGCACTTAACAGACCCACAGCTATCTAGACCAGCTAAGAGAGAGAAAGGTATGCTTGCATAAGCATGAAGAAGCGAATGTGCATGTAAACATAAAAATGGTCACACTAGGTCAGACTACATGCCTTCCAGCACGGGATGAGTTTGGTTCTTCAGGCATATTATACAGACAGTTTCTGTAAAGATTAGGAATGCTCATGTTTAATAGTATCTAATAGCTACAAATGCTATGCTGTTTGCGCCACTAATGACCTAGTTTGTCTCTTCCGAATTTGGCCAAAATAAAAATAGGAATGCATAACCTGTAATTTACAAGAGCACAATTCCTTTAAGCATTTGGGCTGGGCAATGTGTATTTAAACAACTAATGCAAGAATTAACAAACTCCACCCATGCTGTGTTTCATGCTTACTGTGCTGTTTCCATGTGTCAGTCTGCCTGCATCATCTGTTGACTCTAAAAACCAATGAGCATACCTGGGGCTGTAACTACGAGCTTATTTAAAAGTAACTTCTCTGTCAGAGCCTTATGATCCTGAACTCACTGTCATTCAAGCAAATCTCTTATTGACCTAGATCTGCCTCCATAAGGACATAAGCTGAAACACGAAATGTAAGAAAGGAAAACTTCCCTGGTTTTCCAGAGAGGGTTGCATCCACAGTTCTGAAAATCAGTCTAATGGGCAAAATCCTCTTTAAAGAATGCATATAAAATATAAAGGTACAACGGATATAGTTTTCTAATACTCGTCAATAAAATCTGTGTTCTATAAATTGTAACAAAATGAGGTGGAGTGAGGGGAGAGATTTAAAATCAATTCCCACACCAACACACAGGATTAAGCACATCCAAAAGTAATATCATCTTAACTATGAGCCTTATTAAATTACTATTCTACTAGGAACATACTTCTTTACAGTCGTATGTAGCCAGATTTGGGATTATAGTTTAAAATGTTTTATTATTACACCTGCTGAGAAGAGAGATTGTGTTTTGTCTATCTGCAGGGCCTGTCTGTACAATTCAATGGAGTTTAGATAAGGTATGTCCCAAAATATCTCTGTTCTAAGTTTTTATGAATACATATAAATACAAAAAAAAAGGATATGCCGAATGCATATTTATACACACTGTTATTATTCTTTCAGGGAATCTTATGAACAAAACATATGGCACAGTGACTAGCATGTCCTGTTTTCAACTGCAGTGAAGTGACAGTAATGCTCTCAAATGTCTTTGTCTTCACGATGTCAAAACCTGTAATTATCAATGATCACTGCTCACTTGCTATGGTGCAAAGGGGAGCAGGTACCATGAAAATTATGATACATTTTGCTTGCATGTATCTGTGATCGGTAGAATTATAATTTTACTTTCCTGAGTTGCAGAACTCATGCTACGCCTTTCAGAAAGCATTTCACAATATATCTGTGGCAAAGCACAAGGAACCTAACAGTTGTCAGAGGAAGGCAACTGACTTGTGAGCAACATAAGCAACATGGTTTACCTATGTTGTAGCTTCCCCTCAGCTAAGCACTTGGATCTTTGGCAGAACAGCACAAGAAACATCAGTATTTAACTACAAAATTTTCTAGGACAGAAATGAGCTACAACAATGTGGAAAAGCAGCCTACTCCTGGTTAGTCCTAGGCTGTCCAATAATAAATATGATTAAGAGTTCCAGAGCTTCCCAAAAACAGATTATTACAGAAAAGGGATTCTTTTATTTCTTTCCATTGAGCTAGGAGATAGGGTTATTTCCCACTGTGTGAGAAGAGCTAATCCCTCTGCTTTCTAAGACCAAACGGTGTCTCTGTTTGCTTTTGGTCTTCTTTCCTGGCCCAGTAACATTGCCAAAAGAAAGAGAACACTACCTCTGGACTGAAAAGCTAAGACAAAAAACAGGGTGTCTGGAAAAATGGTTCCCCTTGAAACGATTCAAGTCAGCAGCAGCAGCAGCACTCAGCGACCAAGAGGTTTCTCTCTCTTCCCTTCCACCATATACTACGCACCTGCTCCAGCATTCAGCTGAACTTTTACACACCGCACATCTTGAATTAATGCCTTCTTCATGAGAGAGGTAGATGCTGAGGCTCCATCAGAGACAGCATTCAGTCAAACTCAAGAGCAGCAGAAAAACATTTCACAACATCCTCCAAGATGAGAACTCTTCTACAGCCAAGCTGCTGAGCAGCTGGCTTGTTATACACATCTTCCTGCTACCCTCCTATGCCCAGGAGTATAGCAAGCTACTGGAGAAGTAGGCTAATGCAATATTCATATTCTCTTTTAAGAGTTCCCGCTTAGTGATTAGTGTTTTTGTCAGCCCATGAAATTGCTAAATAAACATTGTACGAGGTCCCAGCCATTCCTTCAATTAGCCCAAGATTATAAGGCAATAGCAGACTTGTATCAAACTGTGATAGTGGTTTCAGTGGTGCTAATCTGAAAGAGCTAGTCTGTGCCGTTTAAAGCCTCTATACAGGCCATCATTTGTGGATATAGCATATGGTGTTAGATTAATACATAATTAGCTAGGGAAAAAAAGAACATAAAAAGAGCTGACAAGATCAAACTATAAATGACTTAAACCATGAAGATCAGCAAAACCCAAAGTACCTTTAAAAGCATTTTCCATTTTTATGGAAAGGTTCTCCTGTCTATTTTCACCGATGTTAAATAGAGTTTATTTTAAAGACCACTCATCTTCAATATATATTTGAAGTACGGTAGGCATCAGGAAAAAAAAAACCCATACAAATCCTTTAACTCCTTATCCATTATATAAAAACAAGAAACGTTGAACAAGACCAAGGATGAAGCCTCTTTTCTTAGAAGTGTTCTGCAATCTTTAATTACTATACAGACTACAACTATGATTGAGCAAACAAAGCCTCAATTTACCATCTCCTCTGAAAAGTGAATAGTAGACACTGCCCATGTCGCTGCTCCATGACTGAATACATAACTGAAAATACAGTTGGCAACTATCTCACTGGCATTATCCGAGTTATTTTAAAGGAGCATAAATAACTAAATGTAAAATTTAGAGTTGTAAAGAAATAACCAAATGAAAACTTGCCACCATCTCATGAGTCATTTACATGTCATGAGCATCCTCCTACAACGGTGTGCAGCAGAAAATTCTGCAGAGTCAGCAGGATTCTATTTCTATGCCTTTCACAGGGAAGCCTGATAAAACGTTAGGATCTCTATGTACCGTAGGCTGCAGAGAACAGGCAGGCAGAAAACAAGAGTTAGTTCTTCTTTGTTCAAACAAACTTGAATTTAAAACTAGAAGGCCAGTAATGCTGGTCATGGCCTCCTCAGCAAACGCTTTCAAATGTTACACTCTGCAAGACGCACGCATCAGAATAGATTTTTGGTGTTCATATTATTATGCCTAGAGGATAGGATACTCTCAGAAACCATAAGATTCAGCTTTGAATTTCCACTGTCTGATTTAAATCATTAGCACAAAGTGAGATCTTCCATTCCAGGACAGCACAATAGTCATCAGGCTGTTAGAAATCCAGAGATGAGACTCTTTCAGCAAGGCTTGTGGAAGGCCTGCTTTGACCAGAGCCCTCAAGTCCCCAGCAGAAACAGAGACTGAAGGGATTACCATACTCTGGCGAGCTTCGGGAGATCCTGATGCAAGTTTATTCTCCAAATCAGAGTAAGGATCGGAAAACATCTGCTGCCTTCCAGGTGAATGTCCTAACACACCTATATAGCACATTGGAGTGCAGAGGCCTCGCTCCAGTTCTTCATAAAAGAAGCTGATCTTAAATAGACATCTTACTCAAGAGAGGATAAACAGCTCAGAAATAAACCTGAGACACAGGAAAAGCTAAGAGACTCCATGTGGTCCCTGCTCAGTGTGCTTGTGTCTGAAGCTCCCAGTTTATGCTCCTGCGACTGCAATTGTCCCTGAGAGGCAAGATACTTGGATGGAAAAAGCTGCAACACCTAATCTCTTTTCTGAGGTTAGCTACATATCTTGACCAAGATCCGCAGATAAAACTTGGGGGCAACAGAGCAATGCATTTTTAATGCCTTTTGTGTCACTGACAAGCAGCCAACCAATAATAATAAATTAAGTCTGCCGAAGAGGTGATGCTCTTTCTGAGAACAATGTGAGTAAGCTCTTTCTGAGAACAATGTGAGTAAGGATACTAGAACACTTACCTAGCAGTGCTTCTATCATTTAATTTTGTAACACAGGCAATGAAAGTCATTTCTCACACTGACTGAAACCTAAACAAAAACACGTGTCCTCACACATGAGAATCAAACTCTAAAATCTGTCTCTGAACAAGAAAATCGGAGAATCTAGATCTCTCTGCAGAACGAAATGCAATGGGACAACTCTCCGAAAGGATTCCTAAGCAAGCACAAAGTAGTATGACTCAGTAAAATTAAAAAATGATTTTACAGGCTGTAAACCCCAGGAGCGGTAGTGACTGTTAGCAGAACTGGGTCCAAAAACATTTGTAATGGTCCCAGATGAAAAAACAGAATAAACGAACAACCCCTTCCACCCCGCAAAACCAGCTTATTTTCCAGATAGAGTGGTAATTTAAACCTGGAAGTTTTGTTCAATTTCATGCTTACCTGACTATAAAGTGCCAAAAGTGCATCCGCTTCTAAATTTTCCAGGAGATCTTCAAGCACCACGTAATTTGCTTGCTCTTCTCTGAAGCTGAAGTGAAAGAAAGAACACTGAAGTCTTCCCAAACACAGTGACTATATTGTAGGAAACAACTGAAGTCTGACAGTCATCCATTCAGAAAGCACATCTCTCTGTCAGCCAAGTTGGTTGAGATGGCATACCTTTTAAAATAAGCCAACCTCTCTCTGTTTCTCCCCTGAACTACATGCTGTTAAAGTCTTAAGGAACTCCAAAGCAAAATTCGAGCAAAATCTGATGAGCTCTTATCCACAACACAAATCTGAAATTGCTCTAAAACATTCAACCTCTTGCCCCCTATCCTCTTTAAGTGTCATCACCGTACTTTTTGGAAAATTGTGGATTTTTTTTGTCGCTAGAAAAATAACAACCAGTTAGTTTCCTCACTGCTGATGATTTTTTTCTTCCTGGACCAATCTTTATGTCCTTTGGGACAAAAACAGGACTTGTTTTTTCCATTATGTTTTCAGGCACCCAGTTCAGTAATGAAGACCAGTTGTTCTTTAAAGGCATCGCTGATACGTCGATATACAACAGTATCTCCAGGCTAGTAACCTATCTGCTCTTCTAGTAACTACTCACTATATTCCTACAACAGGAGAGAGTCGTCAATCTACGTCCAGCAGACCACCAGCCCGTTCACTGTTAAAACAGACCTGAGAGAGTAATGCGTCCACTCAAACCTTATCAAAGTAATTTTTAATAAATGAATTGGTTCAACTGAAACCCTTGCTGTAACGGAAAGCACCCTCTCCAGGTCTTACATGAAATGCAGTGAGCTTCTCATACTGTGCAATCCACACACAAATGTAACTTCTAACTCATGTGACTGTAATGAATGTAATGCAATATTCTGTGATTTTGCAAACCCTCCCCTATTTTTTCTGCGTAACATTTATGTCAAGATAGACATTTCTACCTCAAAAAAATTTTCCAAGTCACATAGTTTTTTGTTTTTTTGTTTTTTCCACAGATATTTTTAAGTAAAAACTGTCCAGGAAAAATGAAACTGATCCTATCTCTGATGAACAGTTTATTCATCCTACCAAAAATGATCATATGACAGGGAATTCAATCTGCACAGTAAAATATGCGCACAGTGGAGATGGAAAGTAAATTTAAATCGTCTCAGCTACTTCCTCTAACTCCAACAGAGCAGCTTTCAGTGAAGTCCCTTCTTGGGAGATGAGGGAACAACAGTATTCAACTTCACTGTCCTTCTTGTTGGAAAGGGGTATTGTTATTTTTCCACCGGCCCACTCAAGAAATACTGATTGCCATGCAGCACATCACAGTTTACATTATAAAACGTTATTACTATTTCAAGTTTGTTATTTCAATATCGCTAAGTGTTGTAAATTATCATCTGGGCCATACTGCAAAAAGGCACCATTAAAACATAGGTGTAGAGTCCCTCCTCAACACAGCAGAACATTTAATCTGCTGTTTGTCTGTCATATTATAATCCATAAGGACTGCAGTGACTTAGCAATACCTGAGACCAAGACACTTACCTTTGCTGGTGCAGATTTATAAACTGTCTACATTTATTCATAGCCTGTCTTAGCAGAAGCGTCATCTGTCTGTCTCCATTAGTTTCCATAGCTTCACTTGAAAGTCCTAATCCATCTGGAGCCCATCTCTGCCTACTCATTAGATGCTGCTGCTGCTGAGCTGACTCCTTATGCGACATCTCATACTCCAGTTTCTTGTCAACTTCTTCAATCTCCTAGAGTTTGAAAACACATAATGATAAAAAAAAAGTCATAATTCATCTTGGAAGAACAAATTTCATTTGGAGTGAAGAAAAAGATGATATCAGAGTTTGTGATATTGGTTTATTCATTTCGCATTCTACCCAGCCACTTGCAGTCATTACACTTTCCAATTCACTGTATGGCTTCAGTAAACATGACTTGTATGCTATGAATATCAGAACGATGCCTAAAGATATGAGTTAATTCTCATGGAGTTAAAGGCCGATGCTCTCTGAAGCCCTCCACTGTGGAGGGCATCTAGAAAGTACAATTCTAGCCTGACTGAGATCCAAACAAAAGAATTCCACCTTTAGAATTAACCTATAAGCTGCATAAAACCATTAAAATACAGTGTAAGAAATGTAGGAAGACTAAGTTTTACTTACACTGAACCAATGGCTAATATCAAAGTGGTGCCAAGTTAAAAGACTATAACTTGCACTTAGTGTGATAAAAGCAGGGTTAAAATATAATGCCTTAAAAAGCACAGGGTTAAAAACCAGAGTCTGAAGTGCACTGCATCTCAGGACAATTCTCTCTCTCTGTCAAGTAATCAAACTAGATGTTAGGAGAAAGGGCATATTGCAGCTTTCCAACTTGTTTTTGCCTGACCTCAAACGTATTGCTTACTATCTAAGTGTCCTACTTCTCTACCACTTGTAACTTGGAGAAAATACTTAATTTTATTGTCTTTCCCCCTCACCCCTCAATTTACTCTTTCAGAGCACAATTTCATTAGAGCATGATGTCTCTAAGTAAGTAAATACTTCCCAGCCAGTGAAACTCTAAACTGGAGCTTGGATCTATTCTCCGAACACCAAAAATGAACATTTACATGCTGCTTGTATGAAGATGAAGCCAATTCACATAAAGTCAGACACAAGTTTGTTTCACTGATTGGCAAAACAATCACTGATGTACTCAGCATTAGAGGATAATCTGATATATTTGTTTTAAAGTAACAAGTGTCCAAATTTGTCATCTAGTGGGACAAATAAGCAGAAATAAAACACAGCAAGAGGCAAAGGTTTGATCACCAGAAGACAGTCCCTGTAAATGTAACATAACAGGCATTTTAAATTATGATTAAAATATTTTCTTCCCATAACAGGGCTCAACTCAGTCCTCGTACATTGCGTAAAGGATCCAGTGCTAGCTATTCTACATCTCTCGTCTGTCCCTCCCTCAATTCTTTTCCTTCACACCTGCTCAAGGAAAGAGAAGCTAAAAACAACCTCTTTGCAAAGGGTGGGGAAAAGCCTGGTCTTCTCTCCGGAATCTCTTACACTTACTGCATAAGAGATACCAGATTAAATACCAGATTAAGTTATTTTTAATACTCCATCTACGTACAGTTTTCTCTTTTTGCTGCAATTATTTCCTACACTTTAAATACAACTCTAAACAAAATTAGAACTGTATAAGCATATGAGCAGATTGCCATTCTAAGAGAAGCTCTGTAGAGACGACAGCATTAAACTGTAACCAGAAGTTTTCACAGCAACAGCTGTCTAATGATGCCCTCTAGCAAAGAGGTTTTGCTTCTAAAAACCCATTTTGTTTGTTCTACTCCAGTGCTCTCCCAAGCCTCACTTGGATGGTTGCAAATGGGAGATGCATAAAAAAAAAATCCTTATGAATACAGAGCACTGAAGTATTAAAAAGGGTTAGAAAACTGGCACACACAAAGTATGTAATAAATATGATGAAGGGAAAAGGCCTTTCTGAAAGTTGTACTATTTAAACTGCATGAGCATGCTCAAAGAGAGACAGACAGAGAGACTGTATTTATAATCCTTATAAGCTCAGTGATTGAAGCCCATCACGCGGTTATGGATTTTACCATTTCGATAGCACTATAACGTGAACAACTTTTTAACACAGTCAGGACAATTTACTAGTCATGACTCTCAGTCACTTCCCTATGTCCGTCCCCTCTTCCTTGTGATCAATAAAATTTTAATATTAACTAGCCATCTAGCTATTGCTCTTTCTGACTGTAGATCTCCAGATGCTTCTAAAATAAAAATAATAACCATAATACACAATCTTCCCTGGCTCTAAAAACACTTTCCTTCTCTTTATTTCTGTTACTTAGAGCAGTCAGCTCACAGCATAACAGAAATTAAAGGCCAGATCATCAGAAGGTCCAAACTGGCCCAGCTAAATCAAAGTCAAATAAGCTACTGTCCCACAGCTGATGTCTCCTAGCAGGAATTTTCCATTTTCACAACTTCACTACTTACAGGATTGTGTGCTTCTAAAATCTGAATACATTCCAATTTTGATAGTGCTTTTGAAATGCTCAGCTGTTCGAAGAGCAAAGCTTGAATGCTTATGATAGCAGTATACAACTCCAACATTTTGGATTTTTTAACAGTCTTTTGAAATTGTAAAGAAGCAATATACTCTCCAAGTTTATTCTCTAGATCACGCAGCTGACTCTGTTTCTCAAGCAGCAATTCGTACTTAACCTAAAAAACAACGACATATAAAAGATAAGAAGATTAACAGAAAGTCTTATATACATATTCTTGATCTTGCTACTCTATAATTAACAAACTGGATTAAAAAAGTAAAGAAACCAATGCTGTTATCTTATAATGAAATACATTATTTAAAAAAGAGATTATATGTGACTTCTTACACAAATGTTTTTAATAGCAAATTCCAAGCTTTTACTTAAATGATCACAAGATAGTACACTAAGCACTAATAAGATACTTCAAATGGATCTGGCTTTATTTTAGTGTAGCCCTAACTTTATATTAAAGCTTACTTCAAAATAAAGGGTCTAAAATAACTTTATAATATAATAACAAGTAAAAATTAAGACTATAAATAAATACGTTCACCTGTATGATTGGTTAAAGGGTAAGACAAAATGCACCCTTCTGTTTAGCAAAGAACGATACAAAATTTATTTATCTTCAAATCAGCAAATGTCAAAGGATATCAAGTTGAGTTTCTTTAAGTGAATAACAAAAACTCTTACGCAAAAGAAAGTTAAACTGTGAATCACAGTCCACTCGTAATGGATTTCAAACAGGATTAAAACTGGATTAAACTGATTTCAGACAGGATTAAATCAAAAATGGGTTAACTCAATAACTACATTGCTGCCACACATCTGACGGGACCTACAAAGAAGTGAACGTGAGAGGCAAACAATATTCTACAGTATATTCTTTATGAGAAATTGTTTAAAACAAAATTCAGATGTCCTAGCCATACACAAGCGTCCTTTGATAATACCACTCTCACACATCACGTTTCCCCTGCAACACCCCATGCGGAGGGACGCAGCATTTGGAAGCACAGACCAGTGATTGACAGCGTGACTGACAAGCTCTCCCCACCGTACACTGCCATTCACAGAACTGGCACTCCGACTGGGTCTGTTTGGGGGTTGGACTAGATGATCTCCACAGGTCCCTTCCAACCTCAACCATTCTGTGATTCTGTTTTCCTGCAGGACACCATGGATGGTGGTTAGATGCAGTTCCCCTCTCACCCATCCTTAGATCCTTCTACCCGAGCTTGTCACTCTACAGTTCTCTTTATAGTCAAAGAGGGGGGAATAGGTACTTCTAATTGCATTTCAAACCCTAAAAATACCTATTTGTTTCCACTGACAAGTGTGGATGTCTGGATTAGAAGTCGATGGCTACACTGCACATCTACATTTGGGCAGCTCAAACCTGAAAGACGGTAAATGACTATCAGCTTGATTTTACACCCCCTTTTTGTGCTTCAGAGAAAGAAAGCTCATACTTCACTAACTGGTGTTTACAGCAATCGCTGCATTGCATTTTGAATAAGCACAGAAACATGCCATCTATGACATTACTGGATATCAGAGCATGGTTTTTTTTCCTCATTCCATCTCTAAACTATGTTCCAGTCGCAAGAAATGTTATTTGATAGGTTTCTAGTTATACAAAAAATAATTTTTCAGAAATCAGTATTTTCCAAGACACTAGTTATTTTATCAGAAATGCCCAAACAACTACTGCCTGTGCCATAATGCAAGAATCGTGGCCACCAGAGGAGGAAACTCAAAAACTTTTAAAGATGTTTCAGTTCAGCTTACTATCACCGTGGTACCTGCAAGCAGCTTCTGCTTCTCCTCCTCGTAGTTCCATGCTGTGAAACTGCTCCCAAAAACTGCCCCCCAAAAGCCCAATCGTAGTGAAGGGAGGGAAGAGAGAAAGGCGCTCCCAGAGGTGCAGGGGTTCGGTCAAGCCCCAGCAGGTCCTGCTGGCTGCCCTGGCAGCGACACCCATAGGACTGCCACAAGGCTTCGGAAAGCCCTAGAGAGCGTGAGGGGCACACCTATCCCAGCCACTCGTTGCCTTGTACCCTTACGGCTCTGATGTGTTATGCATTTGCAGGAAAAGGACTATAAACTCAATGCCCAGCAAGCATCAACTAGAACGCGCCAAAGAGGAACTGAAACCATTTGGCACTGCACTACCTCCCATTGGTAGAAGAACTAACTTTGCCCCTCAGAATCTCTCAGCACAAATAAATAGAGATGATACGTACTCAGGACTCTGAAGCTGGATTATCTTCCTATTTATGCTGATCAGAATTATATATTATTGACTATATTCATGATTAGCTTTAAAGAATCATTTAAAAAGACTTCCACTAAGTTCTTAGATCCTGAAATACAATGCCTATCAATTTTCTCTCAATTTTATTGATAAGACAGCTGCCAAGAGTGATTGCATATCATCTAAATTTTATCATCCAGTAGACAGAGCTAAATTTAAAATGAGATTTGCAACCAGATATGCTTATCACACAAGCCCTCGTGAATATTCTCCAAAGTCTCCATTAAATCATCTGGAATGTCCTTGAACACAAGAGAAGGAAGTTATCTGCAAGCATATTTCTTACTAATATGACTGAAGCCAAACACAACACAAGAGTTAGAAATTTTCCTATAGACACAAAGTAGAGGCAAGACCCATTTTCAAGATATTTCACAGAACCTTCATCTTCAACAATGGATATTGTCTCTTAATGTTACTGTTACTCTAAAGAATTGATCTTGAATAATAAGCAGGTGTAGGATTTACTATTTAGTAAGTAAGCATACGGCTTATCAGTAAAAATATGGGGTATATGAGTTAGGAGGAGAATTCAGCTCACAGATCAGATTGGAAATATGGTATCCAAAATGCTAAAAACTAAGCTGTTGTTTTGGAACACTGGAGGCAGAGGTCCCCAGTGAAAAGGAACGAGACGGCCAGAATTTGGATTTTATGGGAAAAGAGCTGTGCTGTCCTAACATGCTGAGTATTTGCATGAAAAAAGTAGATGACTTGTACCTTGAACTACATCCAGAAGTATCTATTGCTTGCTTCCATGTTCCAGCTTGCAGTGAGGAAGATTTGATAATAATACTAAAATACATACATCTTTGACATGCTTTGTAGGAAGGTAAGAAATCTGGTTAAGATGAATTTGAGACCTTTTGTTCTCTGTGCAATGCTTTTTACTGGAATGCTAATAACTTTAGCATTTCTCTTCTAATCTCGCAATCTAACGGTTCTTGAGCATTCAGCAGTGTATACTGTAGCCTAGCAGCACTAACAGGAAATCAAATAAAGATAAAAAACTTCTGTATAGCATTCTGCAAATCACAACTTTGGTTTTGATTACATAAGACAGCCATTTCCACCCTGACTCAGGCTTTTTCTTTCTTTTTTTCTTAATCTTGTCAAAGTAAACTTATTTTAAAAATCCAAAACGTTATTTCAAGATATTCTTATAAGCCAATGACATAAGGCAAAGGCCTGGAGGTAAGACTATTCCTCACCTCAGTGCCAAGGCAAGTATTTAAAAATCTTCCTTAAAAAGCTAGTGCATCTTCTTACATGAGACTCAGGTTTTTGTTTTAAAAGGCAATTGAATTAATTAGTATACTACTGCTCTCCGTTACGCTCTCATTGTGACAAAGGATAAGGTTCTCAAAAGTGATTAGCAATTTTCAGAGCTATGTTGTCCAACTACCCAATTTTTTAAAGTCTCAGTTCTCAAATTTCCATGGACCAGCTCTCAGCCCTGTTTTCAGAGGTGAAAGTTTTTATCCTAGGTGATTCTTAAAGAGAGAATGGAGTAGAAGCGAGTCCTTAACAGTAAAACAGATAGAAGCTTTTTCTTCTGGTATTTGTTACCCTACAGGAAGGCAAGTAATTTATATAAGATTGTCAGACAGTCATTTAGATTTTTCTAACATCTAGTCTCTACCAAGGTGCGCCGGGAGCTGCAACACTACAGCAGACACCACTTTAAGGGGCAACTCATGTTCAAAAGGGTACCAAGCTGGACACCTCATGCCACCGTTCACAACTTTGGCATTGTGGAGCTCTGAGTTTACTTAAAACTAGGAAAATGAAGATGATAGAGAGGATGAGAACAAGTGAATCTTCATCACAAGAGACTGAATGATTTATTTTAGGATTTACATTACAATAGCATCAAGTGGTCCTCTTCAAGCATTATAGGGGAAAAAAGTTCAAAAGCACCTACTTGACTAAAAGTACATAGCCCTATTTTCAAAAGGACAAAAGCTCTAGAGTCTTTATCCCTACGATGTTCTCTATTCAACATATTAGGGCAGCTTCTCAACTAGTATAAATTACTACACCTCGGCTAGCTTGCATGAGTGATGACAACCTACATAAATCGAGGATTTGGCTCTCTCTTTTTTTCCAGCTTTTATTTACAGGCCTAGGATACTGCCTGCCAGAATACATATATTTTACACTATCTTATCATAAAGGGGGAAAATGCTTGAAGCATGATTTGTTTTGTAGGATGCAAAATCAGCAAATAACATCTGAAGGCTGCTTTTGTAGTTAGGAACAGGATGTACTATAAACCTTTAAAGATGCAGATAAAAAAAAATACACAGAAACGTTATGACAGATGTGTGCACACAACTGAATTTAAAGCTAGTCTCTTTCTTCACAGGAGGCTCAGTTTCAGGCACAAAGATTTTAAATGAATTATACATATATGAATTCTGGGGATGGATGAATGAATAATGAATAGATGAATGAGTGATCACCTTCAGCAGAAGTTTGAACCCATTAAAATGAATGAAGGATAGAGATGAAAATGGGGTTTGACAACTCCTGCTCACTGTAAGGAAATACAAGAATGTATACTTTAATTGCAGCTCGATTCAAAGGCAAAAGAGATTACATTAATGGCAGAAACACTTATACTTTCTTTGTCAACCACTTCAAATGTTAGGTAGCTTTAAATTGTATGTACAGCATATTCCATGAATTGTAAGATTTATGGTCCGAACTGCAAAACTGGATACCATTTGCATATTACTAAGCACGAAGCCATATTTTAAGCATGTTCAAATACACGGGAATGATATTCAGCTTTATCATTCGGTATCGATTCAACATTATACAGCAAAGTAACTGCCTTTAACCAAAGAAAATGTTGCCTTACTCAGACTGGTACGACTATTCATCACCATAGATTTTTCCCCTGAGTTTCCTTCTGCCTCTTGTCAGCTCCCAAATCACAGCTCTACAGAGATATGTTTATGAAAAATCAAAGCTTGCAAGCAGTCCTGACTTCAGTGTGACATAAAAGCTGACGTCAGTAGAAGCTGGATCAAATAGTTATTATAAACAAATTATAAACTAGTTGTAGACTAAATACCCACTGGCCGCTCTTGAAGCCTTCTATCATTCCAAACAGAAGCCCAAATTACTATTTCATATTGTATTTTTTAGTATAATATTACTATAGCATCCAACTGCCTTACTGAGGACATACCAACTCTTGCAGGTCTGACCTTTTGCTGCTGATTCCACTTGAAATGTCCAAATTAAATAATAAATTTCAATTTTGTAAATAGACTATGATTAGTCCATTGTTTGAGAGCATTAACTTCTAAATTCCTTATTTAGTTCATACTATCTGTCTACAAGTGTTGCTTCAGTTCCAAATATCACAAGTAAAGGAAATGATCTGAAAAAGTACTTGATTGCCTGCAACTTCAAAGACATTTCTCATGCAAGTCTATTACTGTTGTTTCTCATTTTAGCCCAGCAGGGTCAAGAGACTAAAGAATGTCAATATTTTGACTACTGTCTTTCTTCCGAGATAAGTAACTGCTACTTCAGAAAGGAAGTGCACAGGTCGGCTCAAAACAGCCAAGAAACACAGTAGATAGAGTCTACTTTTAAGGATTTTCACGGCGAGATCAATGATACTCTCAGGCACTCTCAGACTACGCTCCAAATCCCTTTCTGTGGCCTCCCAGCTCACTGCATCCTTCCCAGGAGTTTTTATTTTCTGTCATGTCTGTTTTATAGTATTATAAAACACCACATCCCAGTGCTGCTTTTATAAGCGTTAGTTGGTTAACCATTTCAGAGCTGTTTAGTAGTGAGTATGAGCTAACAGATTGCAAAAGGCAAGAGAAGGAAACTTTACTTCCACGATCAACATAACGTTTATTTCAATGCTTCTGGTGTCCTAACAGTAATATGAAAACTAACAATTTTCCTTAGCAAGAGTTTAGTTTCTTATTGGGGAAAGCCCCAAGCATTTGGCTTTTTATAACTAATATGCAGCCATACCACTAAATTAACAAAAGCAATATTAAAAAGACCTCCAGTGTGCCAGCTGGTGTATATAAAACGGAATAAAATGTGGCTTAGAGGAGCTAACTTCTCAGTTTTAAAACAAGATTTTAAACACAAATCTAAGTCTCAGTGCTGTTTGTAACATAACAGCTCAGGCATACCCAGTGGTACTTCCGAGTACCAAAAGGGTAAACTTTGGAGGTTAGGGCAGTAGATGTTGAAGTCAAAAGTATAAATGGCTCCAGGAAAAGGGTTAAATGCATTCCTGGACAAGAGTTATCAAACTGTTAGAGAGCAGCAGACTATCCCACTGGTGGTATTCTTGCCTAGGCATCTCCTTTCACTTTTCAGAGACTGCAGGCTGGATTAGATCAACCTTTGCCTTAACAATCTGCAATATGTTAGTATCACATTAAAGTAATATCACTGTGAATAAGAACACCAATTCAGTTTTTCCTTTCCTCAGGATATATCAAAAGCACAGGGAAAATATAAAACAAACTCATTTTTGCCCAAAAACATTCGACTACTGAATTTGATGCTGCAAGCATTTGGGAATCTGTTTCTTCAATCTGCCAATGACACTCTTCATTCTGCACAGTTGTTATAGCTGAGCGCTGCCTGTTGTCTAATATAGGTACCACCGTAACATTCCTCTGATATGCGAAAGTAAGATTAGCTGTATTTTACAAATAAGAAAACAAAGCAGAGACAGGTTAAAGAACACAAAACAAGATCTTATAGAAAGTCTGTTAGCAGAGAAATGAAAAGCCTCCAAAATCCCAGGTTAGCACTGGCCTCATACTTTCCTTAAGGAGTAACTTTAGACTGGAGCTGTGAGTCTTAAAAGAGTCATCAGAATCAAGGCTCCCTTTCAATGACCTCTGTACACAAAAGCTCCACCTCTATCCATAAATCTTATAATCTAAGCATCTATTTCTGGGTTTTCAGTAGAGTTAGAAAAGGTCCAAGAGCTAAATCCTGCTCAACTAAGTAAAGAGCAATGGACTTCCCACATATTTTGAAAGCTCCACTAAGTAAAGCACAGGATATACTGCAGTCTTGCAAACATGCATATATCAAGTACCAGAACCATCAGAGGCAAGAGTGAGACATGAAATCAGTTCTGTAATTAAACTGTAAAATTTAAAACAAAGTCAAAATTATCTAATTTTAAATAGAACTTCTTGACAAATGCAGGCAAGAGTATAGAGATGTATAACTGCTCCACCTCATGACTTCTGTATCTGGATCTTATTCACATTGATAGGAAACAGATTTTTAATAACTAAAAAGTGACAAAATACGGACTTCAGTACAGAAAAAAATTGCATTTACCTTATTCAAATTTTCTTCTCTCACCGAGTTTTCATAAATGAAAATTTTTTCCTCTAAAGATTTCTTCAGAATATCTATCTTATTTCTATTCCTGGATCCTGGTTTTTTCATTTTGGAATGTTGCTGTAAGACGATAAGCACAATGCTGAGTATTCGTAAAAGGCAGACGAAGGTGCCTTTTATTACTTACTACAGTATTACTTTCTATTATTGGGGGAAAAACCACCAACGAATGAAACACTTGGCAAGGATTACTTTCACTGAGAAAATATTCTCTGAAATTAATGCGCTAGCTATTCATTCAGAAGACTCCTTTCAGACATTCAAAGTTGGAAACATTTTGGTAATTTCTTTCAAGTAGAATTATATATTCATCCTTTCCACGAAAACTGCCAGCACATAAAATTTATTTTAAACAAGCTTAGCAAAGACAATATGCAAAGATTTTAACTGATACTTTGTCTCCTCAGCGCTGTTTAAAATGAACAAAGAATATTAATTTAAGAACTACATTGTTTTCAAGACACACTTTAAGAATCACAAATGAACCATGATAGTATTAAGGGGCACCGTTCCAAGTAATCAAATTATTCTTGACCTTTATATTTCTTTACAAGAATATCATCTAAGTATAATGTACTCTTGGGGAAATGATAACATCTGTTCAACTCTAAGGCTTTGCAAAGTCATCTTCCTTCTTAAGTACTTCAGAAATTACTAAGGTTTTGAACTAGGCTAATACACAGTACAATTAACCCAAGTTAGTTTACACATTTAGATAACATTACTGAATCAAACCACAGCACGTGAAAACCCTTCTCTTATGACGCTATACCAACAATTCATACATAAACCAATTTTACTTCTTCTGTTTAAGAACTGAAGGTAATTTATGAATCCACATTTACATTTCACTGGAGAATTAAACACCCTTCACATATTTCTTAAAAAAAAAAAAAAAAAAAAAAGGTAAATGATTTTTTAAAAGGGGTCTATGTACATCCAAAGTTGTCCATCCCAAACCTTAAGCCTTTTCATGAGTCCAACAGTTTCCTTATGCACAGACCACTTTACTGAATAGCATCTTGAAGACTGTAATGATACATAGAAAGAAGCTAGTGGTCCTGAAAACAAGTGCTGCTTTTTTGGTAGCAAAAGACTGAGCAATGTGAACAGGGCATGCATGCCTGGTAGTGGGAAAGTAAATGAAATGGACTGCCATGCACCAGATGGTTCATATGCCAGCAGCTTGAGTGAGTATGCCCGATCTTCTGTTTATTTCGACTTTAAAAACAAATAAACAAACAAGAAAATACCACACTATATGCCTGCTTCTTTTGGAAAAAAAAAATCATAAATCCTGCCCAAATTATTTCCAAGAACAGCCAGCTATTCAGGAATTTTGCTTTTCTAAACAGACAAGAGAGTCGTAGGACATTCCCCTTAAAAAAAAGCAAATGTCTCCTTACTTGATGTAGTGTCCCACACATTAATGATTTCAATTTAGTAATGTAGCAATGCACATGGGTGATCAAAGAAATCTCAGTTTGGGATGTAAAGGACCAAACTTGTCCCTTAGCACTGCACCAGTTATTCACCTTTCAGGGGGCTCTCTTCAGAGACACAGCCCTTTTCGGATACCCATTTGTCCCTTTATACCTATGCCTTCATCTTGAGAAAGTTGCAGGACAGCAAGCAACAAAAATATACAGGAGTGTGTGAAGACGACATGTTTATTCACCGCTGCCCAGACTGCACGTTTAAGGTCCGCAGATCCACACTGACGGGAGCAGCGGGCACCGCTGTCCCCCCTCGATGAGCAGCCATGGACCTGTGCCTGCGGATGAAGTCAACACCCTGCAGATAAGTTCACGGCAGCGTGACATGTCCCCACGCTGATCCCACCTGTTTGCTGGGCATCGCTAAACGCTGGTCCACTTTCAGCAGCTCTGCTTCCCTCCATGCCGACTCGAAAGCCTGGAGCAAAGTTCTCCCTCTTATTCTGGGCAGAGCCAAGCTGCCGTCCATTTGGGAAAAGCAGCAGTGGAACTCTTGCCTTATTTTAAGCAATTCCTCTTCAGATAACGACAGGGGTAAACTTTGCAGCTGCCTGTTAAAAAACAAGAAACATCAACTGTTCTGTGATCCAGGCAAAAACTAAAAAGACACGCACAAAAATATTTTACGTCACAATGATCATCCCTTCCTGTCGTATTCACTCATCAGGTAAATATTTCCAAACAGGATTCAGTCGTTTAACAGATTCAACATGTCCTTGAGGATACTTTCAATTTTATACACAGAAACTCCTGGCCTGTAAAACTGCATGGTCAAGAGGAAACAGATTATAAATAAATGAATTATCTTAACATTTCAAGTATAATCAACGAACACACAGATATTGCCTGTGCACAGAACTCTTCCACCACTTCAGGTACCGTACAAACCCTGAACATCAGGGCTCAAATCAACAAAAAAGCTTCCCTTAAAGCCTCCTTGTGCTTCACAGCACTATTTAACCGCCACTGTTAAATATGTTTCCTATAAAAGGGAGGGAAAAAATAAGGTACCCCTTCATTATAAACTCCTACATGTTATCCATCCCAAAGGTTTGAGTGTAGTCTTTGTAATAAAGCTTCCAGTAATCTCAACAACATGGATTATATTTTAGCAGCAGTTTGAATCATCCCAAAATTCTTACTTGGTAGGGGCAGAGTTCCCCGTGTGGAAGTCTGCAAACTGCTCCTCAGGTCAAGCTGAAGTTGACTTAAAAAAAAAAATGCTAAAGTCTAAATTCATCTTCCAGTTGTGATTAACCCTAGACTACCTTCATATAGTGACAGCTTTTAAGGGGCTTTTTGACAGAACTGTTGTGCAAAGGTATTTTTTATATATATTTTTCAGTATTTTACTGGAAAAGTAAGCAGCTTACTGTTGCTGTAAATAAAGATAGTACCTAACAAACGTAACAAGGCAGCACTGCAGACTGGAACACAATCATCATGGAATCGTAAGTTAGAAATAGGAAAGACCTGCTGGGTCATATAATCTACTTCCCTGTTTGTGTGGGCTTGTTCTCAGCAATACATTCAGAGATAATAAGACAAGTTAGAAGATACATTGAAATAGCTTACAGAAAAATATTTAAAATATTCAATAAGATACTTAATGAAATGAGAACGAAAGGAATACACAAATGTACTTCTCCAACAAAGACATATTGGGCAAGATCTCTTTGTGTGTGTTTAAGTTTATGTGTGCGCCTGCCTGTGTGTATTTTTATATGGTTTTATACTGTGCAGCAGAAAAACTTATAAAGATGATCTCTGGACAAAACTGCCTAGGCAAAACTGTTCTTCTTTAAAGATGAAATATGAAGGAGAAACCTTAACTAATGTTTTTTTTTCTCTTCTATTTCTCATACCTGGTATGTTTGGTCCAGAGGCGAACTGTCTAACGTGGGATTGCCTGCTCCAGCTACATCTTCTAAAGTTGCAATTTTGATAGCAGTCTATATTCTCATGTTCCCATGTTTCTTACAACATCAGTCTTATTACATAAACATTATATAGGAAATACAGTGCTGGTGGTGTGCTACACAGATAGCACAACAGCTAGTCAAAAATGTACATGAAAGCTAAGAAAATGCTGATAACCTCTCAAAGAGGTTGAGAGGTGCAAACCTCTCAAGGATCTTGTTATCCAACCTGTGCAACACCATGCATGCAGATGTCACCTGCAGTCGTGGTCCCTCCCCCTGTAGGGTCTACCAACAGCGGCAAACCATCCTCCCCCACCTCACACAGGTCACATGGTGGGCAGCAATGGCTGAAAGGTGCAGCCAGGGAGAGTGAAGGGCTCTGCAACATCCCTGACGCTGCGTGCTGGGACTCCTTGCTAGCCCCAGACCCTCAGTGCCAGGGGTGAGCCGTCAGCTGGTTAAATCGGCCAAGCTTGACTTGTGGCTGGAAGGAATTAGGCCTGACATACTAAATGACATTTCTAAAGTACTGGACCTCTGAGAGTGGACCGAGAATAAAAATGAAAGACATGCAACTGAAATCTCACACGCAGTGAACAGAAATATTAAGATGTCACTCCATCTTCTTAGTTTTAAAAGCCAGTGGAAATGCCACTGGTGCATTAGGAGTATCAGCTCACCCTGCTGGTTCTGCAAGGGCTGAGCACTTGCAAAAAATCAATTCTAAGGCATACAACAGATAATTGATCATTAAGAGTTTTATCCAGATAGGTGTTAAAACTCCTAGCTGAGCTCTACTTATAAGCATTAAAACTCCTAGCTGATCTCTGCTTGCAAGCGTTAACTAAGAGAAGGGAACGGAGAGATACTTGCATGAATACTAATTGTTCCCAGGTCCTTATTTTTTTTTGTTCTGAAAGACTCTTTTCCAGTTCTTCACTTAGCTTTTGCCTGGTGAGGGGAAGCAAGTCTTCAATGGCCATGCTCTTGTCACGTTCTTCTCTTTCAAGTTGTTCACGTTTAACAGCCATCTCCTTTTTATGCTCCTCCACAACTTCTAGCAGGAACATCCGCAACACATTGAGCTTTAACAGTTCTTGCACAAATACTCCATACTGAACACGTTTAAGCTCCTCAATGGTTTTCTCCATTAGACTAAATGTAAGCTCTCTGAGCTCTTCACTGGCTTCATTATCAAGCTTCTCAGTAAGTTCTTCAACTTCAACAGCATGATCACTCAGAAGACTTTTCCAGTGGCTGATGTAGTGACTGACCTCCTGAGTTGTTTTGAAGGTGTCTCCTAGTGACAGCTGCTCCTTTCGATGTTCTTTCTGCTGATTCATTTGCCAAAAAAAGAAGTAAGGTAAAGATAAGGGACAGCTCCCAAATTCCAGCTCTTCAAATATGTATCGCCTAGCAAAGAAAAATTCTGAATGTTTGTTTTTTTACTGTTCAGAGACTTATTTAGCACTCAACTTGATGGCTTTCTGTATGTCTAGCAGGCCTCTGTTAATTCAGACTATTATTAGATAGAAGAGCTAAACAACATATGAACTTGTGGTCTGACTTAATCCCAACTGTCTGAAATGTAACAATTTGGCAAGATTCTGCAACTGAATCTGGGTCAAAAAACATCAACACAGGGAGAAAAAGAGTTGTTTGGATGTTTTCTTTCTTACAGCATGCAGCGATTTCTCTGAAAGCTAAATCAAAGCTACTGATACTCAGAATAAAGGCAATGAGTGACGTCTCCATCTTTCTTTATTCCTGATCTCTCTTCTCTTAGCATTAAAGAGCTGCCTATTAAAGAGCAGTCAGGAAATCCTGAAACACACATTCTGCTAAAGGTAAAATTAATTTCACCTAACTTTGATCATTAAAAAAAACCCCACCTAATCCAAGGTAGGTTGTTTTTTTTTTTAAAAACATTCTTTATGCAATCAACAGAGAAAGAATGGGATCTTTGGATAACAATTCTCTTCCATTTTTGTTGGATCACTTGCAATTTCTCTCCAATTATGAGACCATCACTTTTTGGAGGTCTTACAGTTAGCTTTGAATTTTAGACAGCAGAAGTTAGGAGAACTGAATCCTACCAAAACCAACCACGGGTACAGCATCTTTTAAACTTTTTATCTTGTAATTACCATACAAGAATTTTGACTGTGCTGTGAAAGTCATTTACATCACATACAGATGGGGAAATCATAGAAACGACTGTCACAGATCTGCGTCATCTCCCTCAATGAGAGGGAGAGCCTCAGTTGGTCTTTTGCACTTTCAGACATCAAAGGAGGGGACTTTAACATACTTTAAGTATAGGGGCTTCATGATTTTCTCCTGTAATACAATTTTCTTGCAGGTTTTTCTGAAACAACAACTACTAATGACACCTAATTAAGGCGGTACATTGTGGTACACAGCTAAAAATAAGGGACACTTATTTTCATATGTGCTCCTGGCTATGTTAAACACCTTCATATAAAAGCTACACTTTATTTTTCAACTCATTCAGTTTTTGCTTCATAAGCACTGTGACAATAAACATGCTGAAAATAATTACCTTTTGCAACATTTCTCGTCTTCGCTTGATAATGAGTTTCTGGTGAAGCTTTTGCTTTTCTTGTTTTAAATCATGATCAAATTTCTGTTTAACAGAATTAATTTCAGCCTGAGCTTGCTCCAGCAGCATTCTCAAATGACTTTCAGACAGATGACCTGCCCTGTAATAATAGTATTTAAAATCTGTTACCCCAAACTGTGAAGAACAAGAGGATATTTGAGCTAATTCATACCATAATAAGGCTCAACTAAGCAGCCACACAGAAAGATCTGTTTCTACTGCAGTAATACCTGTGGAGACTCAAAAAAGGAGCTGAATAACAGAAGGATAATCTCAATCTCAGAGATGAGTCCAGAACTGAGGTAGTTCGCAAGGTGGAGTGAAGATGTATGAAGAAAGAAGGGGAAGAAGGAAGAGAAGGCAAATACAAAACCAACCATTTATTACTTAGTAATGTATGCAATATTCAAATGAGACATTTTAAACTTTATACCTTATTCATAATATTTACATTTTTCATTCACTGCGACTAGAATGCAATTCTAGATGTCTTCTGTAACTCCTTCTCCTCATTAGCCATGATTTCCTCTTTCAAGGATGTCATTTAATCAAATAAAAACACTTAATAAAGATTTTAAAGATACAAACGAAGCACTTCCATGAAGAGATTTATATTCACGTTTCCTACTACATTTTAGTTTTAAGTTATAAAGATTTCAAACTAATAGAGAAATGTAAAAATCTGATAGAGCAAATTCTCAGTCTTAAGCACACAACATCTGTTTCAAATTGAAGACCACAGTCTACCTCCAATTGCTATAGTACTTAACTTCAAAGAGTAAGCAGGATCCCAATCACGTCTGTGATAGACAAAAAACCTCTCTCTCCATGAACTTGAACTGAATTTCAAAAAGTGCCAACTATTCCATTTACACCAGAAATTCCCCAAATCTTTCTCAGACAACAGAAGAACAAAAGAACATCTTAATTCAGTCAGATTAGCCTTTTGGGCATTTGTAAATTACAATTTCTAATATTACACTCAGTGGACTTCCAAAATGTGGGGCTGAAAAGGTCAACATGGAATTTTGGACAGAAACCATCACTTCCTAAACTGAATCTGGAAGCTGTCCAAACACTTTCTAAATTATTTTTCAAATCATGTTTTCCAGAAGCAAAGAACATAACACAGAGACAGAATTCAATTGAATTCTGCAAAATCTCTGAAAATCAAGACCGTATAATATGTTGGGCTTCCATGTCCCCATTCCAATAGGATAACTGGCAAAATTCATAAGTGTGACTCGGGGCTAAGTGTTGCAATCTGTTATCAGGCCCTTCTCCAGAAAGGACAGAGTCCCATTCTCTGAAATTTTATTAGGATTTGTTGATACTGTCACAGCTTTATTCAAAGTCAAATCCTCAAAATACAAGCTGAAAGAAATAAAATAGAAGCTGCAACAATTGCACTGTTGCTGCGGTGGACAGCTTCCACACTTCATGTCTCTCTGCCTACCATTCAAGCATCCACAGGTGTCTGAGCAAGCCATGAAACATCATCCCCCTCCATGTACTGCATGTGCTGGAAAGAAACTGAGATTTGCTTTATCATACATTCGAATCAACCAGAGAGCCTCCTTCAACAGAGCTCATCCAAGGTCTATCCATGCTATTTTTTTAAATTGTCTGTAGGAAGACACCTTGAGAGCAATCCACCAAGCATCACTCTGACCTTCTGCCCAAGTATTTTTTGCCATGAAAGCAAGCCACGATAAATTTCAGTGATATGTCCAAAAAAACAATAACGTACTCAACAACATCAAGTTTCCATTCCACGTTTGGTAACTTTAAGTCTAGGCCTCCTTTTTGTTCAATCTCAAGGCTAAAGATTAGCATATCAACGGTAAATTTATTAGGGTAAGGAAGTGAGGCAAAATAATAACCGACATATTACTTTTAATACCTTCAGCCTGTCTTTTTTCAGTAAAATAAACCCAGGCATGCTGCATCCAATTAAAATCCCTGTCCAGAGCAGTGAAAAAGGGCTGCAGTAGAAAAAGATGGATGTGCTGGAACCATCCAGCAAATGAGAAGATTTAGGAAAAGCTATGCAACATATAAGTGACTGGAAGATGATGCATACCAACCTATTCCTAGGATAAAGAAAAGTCCACCTTATTTTAGTTTCAGATTGTTGATTTATTTGGACGTCTAACGCACCCACAGCTAAAACTGTGGGTGATGCAGTACTACAAGATCCATCTATATATTTAGAAAAGCCATATAACAAAAATAATGGGTGAAGCCCTAGCCCCACAGAAATCTATGGGAGTCTGCACGGTGACATAGTAGGAGTATTATGTTAATATCTAGAGGGTTAAATCACATCAAGAGACCTACCTTTCTGGCTTCATATAAATACAGTATACAAATAACTACACTATTAAAGCCAAAAGATATCCTGTTCCCAAGGGACTATGAACTGAGATGTAAAATAAAAAGAAAGCTGAGGAGAACACTGAGCCAGTATAGACTGTATGACAAACTGTGTGGTCTTAGCATATCACATGTCTAATCACCAAAGAAATGTGCAGGCATATCTTTAACATCTTTGAACAAGGAGAATTTTAATGCAAGAGAACACTAAAGTAACAATAAGGATGTCTGCAGCCACATCCTCTCAAATGCCATGGACACCATGGAAGATACAGAGGTGAAACACGTGGCCAACAGCCGCTAGTATTTTAGGTCATTTGGAGGCAGACCTTGACTTCTCCGAAAGGAACGAAAGTTGACCAGTTTAGGAGAAAACGGGCAGGGAAAGGCACTGCAAGTAAGCCAAAGTGTTTGATGCAGTGGAGAACTGTCTAAGGGATTTAAAATGAGAGTGTGAAGTGGTTCAGGAAGAGGAGGGCTGGACCGCAGCAAAGCAAGAAATGAAAGACAGAAACAAAGCAGAATGGTGGGGAGGCTGAATTGTAGGAAGGACTATATAGAGATAATCTGCAAGATGTTGCCCACGTTACTGCACATCAGTAGCACTTCAGGGATTTCAGAAATTACTAGAAAACATTATACCGATGCAGTACCACTGGAGGCATTAGCTTTACAATACCTACTCCCTGAAAGGTCCATCAGGACTGCTCAGAAAACTACTTTGGTTATAAAAAGGTCCATATAAGTGGAGAATATTCAAAAGAATACTAAGTGAGAGACCAATAAAAGATGCTTTGCTTTGATTTTTTTTTGTCAAAGATGATCAATTGACTATTTTAAAAACATAGTTCTAAAGAAATATTTGGCATCTTATAAAAATTGAAATTTCAAAAAGCAATTTATAAAGGATAGTGAGTTCTTTACATCTAATGTAGTTCTGCTAATTCATTAAGTTTTTTTAAGAAGTCAAAGCAGGAAGGAAACTGGTGTGAAAGAGCAGGTACTGGCAGCAGAATGACGCAAGGCTGCCCTAGCTCCAGAATGCCACCGCTTCTGCAGGTACCCAGGGCTCATCACCATTACCAGACCAACACTTGGATAAACATTGCCTGAAGTACTGCCTTTCTGTCCATTTATTCACCATGCTTTTCTTCAAGGGAAAAGATAAACAGCCTTGCTATAGACACCTAGAAAACTATCATTATGGGTTATATTTTCAAATTTGTTTTCCTGCATTTTGGCACTACGGACTGTGGATTTGATTTCCAAAAGGCACTGAATACCCACCGCCAGCTCTGACAAATGGGACCTTTTATTTAAATGCTATCTTCAGAAAGCTCAGCTTGAAATCTCTGGCTGCTCTATCTCATTTAAAATACTCACTACCAACCAAGAATTGTTTTGGCTGGATTTTGCTTTTCATAACCCAGAAGTTCCTTATATCTGACAACACAGAATCTCTTCCATATTAATTTGAAATTGTCTGAAAGTCCTCTGCCTTCATCATACATGTGCTGTGTTATGTGCTCCTGACTCCTTTTATCTGTGGTATATCTAATCCACACTTTTTCTCATTATCATACATTCTTAATCTATTGTTTCTATTTTTGATAAAGGTCTGTATCTATATTTACATGAGCGGATTCAATGCTAAATTGAAAAAAATCAAAAGATTATGGATAGAATAGGACCAGACTTCTCTTGCTGCTCAAATTTTAAGGCTCCAATCTGTAAATATTCCCTAAATCACTTTATAATAAAAAATTGAAATTCAGCTCCCTCCACCTATTAAAGGTTATAACTTCGTCTAGGTTTAAACTAGGATATTTCAGTTTGCCTGCAGCAGAAAGACTAGTGAATAATCTGAAAGAGTACATTCCAGAGTTTTATAACCTCAATATCTAAAGAATGAACAATAACGTAACAGTTCGGCAAAAATTTCCCTGAATGAAATACAAGCCCCAGAAGGTGTGGAAAGTTACAAGGAAATTCCACATACGAAAACAATTAACTACATTTTGAAATTACCTTGACCTGTAGCAGATCTTATTCTATCACTGCTCATTGTATACACAAGGGGGTCCATCAACTTTCCTGCCTCCCCAAAAAACGTAAAGCATACAAAAATACCCAGTTTTCCAGGCAGAGGAAAATTCCTTTGGATGCAACCACGATATGACTGTGGGTGAGAAAGAGGGAAGGGTACTTTGCCATCGTGCAGTTTAGAGTATGCTCCGCACTGTGCTGCAGCAGCTGGGAAAGGCAAAGAGGGGGTGGTTTCCCTTAGTTTTACTCCCTACTAAATCTGCCTTTACATTTCTTTGTGGCTTTGGATGTGAGAACTAGGTCTACTTCTAGAAAGGCAGATGCAACTTCTCTTGCACTAACTCAGCCTCCAGCTACGGATGCTTTTCCTTTGTCCACTGAATACTATAGCCACTGCATACTTAGAAAAGTTTGAGAGGGGAGTGCTGTAAGATTTACTTTTTGGTATTGGTAATGATGCTTGCAGGGGTTTCTCTGTTGTTTTGTGTGGGGATTTTTTTTTGGTATGAGCAACTATCTCACTATAATATACTTTTTGGGATGAGATGCACAAGGTCTTGAATTTCTAATACTTGAAGTTTTCTCTCTGTCTTGTGGTTGATGTGTTGCTCGACTGCTAAATGCAATGACAGTCACTAAACAACAAACTCAAGCTATTTTTCCAGCTTGAAAAGCCTCAGTTGTTCATTGCAATGATTTGCAGCAATGGATGCAAAGGGACCATACTGATGAGAGTTCTTCATGAAGGATTTTTACGTAACTACAACACCTGCAAAAACACCTGAGAATATTTCTTATAATCTGATTCCAAAGAGGCATGAACTGATGGAAGGGAACTCTTGGTGAAGGTTGTTTAAATTGCATTATATCTCCTGTGCCAAAAGATTCATTTTTGTTTTGAGTCACACTGCTACAGACTTTAGCAACCTATACAAGGCAGAGCAGGCGTGCTGGAAGACCCAGTCTGTGATCTTCAGACTAAAGTTAGGGGATGATTCCAGTAAGGAGGAGGCAAATAGGATAGTCAAGAAGAGCAGGGAAAGGTTACACAAATCAGGTAAGTTAGTTTATCATGTCAAGAGATACAACAGACAAAATCTTTGCCACCTAAATCACCAGTAAGTCACCACCTCTCTCTCCACCCTGTCTACGAGCATTTCTGCAAGCATCCTCCTATGGAGTATCTAAATCAGCCTGGATCCTGCAAGATTTCCCAAATAAGTTAAGTGAGTGTGTAACAACAGTCCATTTCCAGGTTTGCTTTTTACTTCATCCAACTTTTGCTTTTAAATATTCCCCGCAACAGGTGGCTTCCCTGATAGTCAAGATCCTCTCCAGTCACGTTATTTATAAACTTAAGTCAACTGCATACATAAAGTTTCTTCAGAAAATGTTTTGCATTCCAACCTGAAACTGTACATCCAGCTCCTCACAAACATGTTCAATTACAAGTGAAACAAAATAGTCTTGCCTGCTAAATCCAGACATTCATGCGTGAAGAACCCTGATGAATGACCTTCACTGTATTCCCACTGACTTTGCAAGACTTCATGTGACTGAGGACTATTTACATGAGGAATAGATGTACAAAGACACCTAGACTCTTAGAAGGGCCAGGTTCCCACTGAAGTCAGAATTAATAGCAGATATGTATACATGTTCCCAGCAATTCACCTAGGCACTGTACAAAGTGGGCACAGACACAAAACATCTGCTGAGATACTAAGTAACACATCCATCGTTACAAAATATTCTATTAGAATTAATAC